TTATGGAAAAGAGGAGCTCAACAGCAGGACAAAGGAACTATAAAGAAAAATTTGTCCAGAAGATGATAGAATCATAGAATCACAGAATGACAGCATCACAGACTATGCTGGATTGGAAGGGACCCACAAGGATCATCGAGTCCAGCTCCAGACCCTGGACAGGACCATCCCCAAGGTGCACAGCAGGTGCCAGAGAGTATTGTCCAAACACTTCTTGAACTCTTTCAGGCTTGGTGCTGTGACCATTGCCCTGGGGAGCCTGCTCCAGTGCACAAACACCCTCTGGGTGAAGAACCTCTTCCTAATATCCAGCCTAAAACCTCTCCTGACACAACTTCAAGCCATTGCTTTGGGTCCTGTTACTGGTCACCATAAAGAGATCAGTGCCTGTCCCTCCTCCTCCCCTCCCAATGAGGTCTCCCCTCAGTCTCTTCTCCAGGATGAACAGACCAAGTGACCTCAGCTGCTCCATGGCTTCCCTTCAAGGCCCTTCCTTCACCATCTTCGTTGCCCTCCTTTGGACTCTAATACCTTAATATCTTTTCTTATATTGCAGTGCCCAAAGCTGCACACAGTATTCAAGGTGAGGCCTCACCAGTGCAGAGCAGAGTGGGACAATCACCTCCCTTGACTGGCTGGCGATGCTTTGCCTGATGCCCCCCAGGACTTGGTTGGCCCTCCTGGCTGCCAGGGCACTGCTGACTCATCCTCAACTTGCCGTCGACCAGGACCCATTTCCCGGCACTGCCTTCCAGCATCTCATTCCCTAGCCTGTATGTACATCTGAGGTTGCCCCATCCCAGGTGCAGAATCCAGCACTTTCCCTTGTTGAATTTCATATGGTTGGTGAGTGCCCAGTCCTCTTAACTTGTCAACGTCTCTCTGTAGGGCCTCCCTACCTTTGACAGAGTCAACAGATCCTTCCAATTAACCATCATCAGCAAACTTGCTTAGTATCTCTTCCAGTCGTGCATCCAAGTCACTTATGAAGATGTTGAAGAGCACAGGGCCTAAGATGGAGCCCTGCAGTACCCCACTAGTGACAGGTTGCCAGCCTGATGTTTCCCCATTTACTCTAACACTTAACACTCAAGATCTGAATCAATAAAATACAAATATACATCTACACAAAGCCTTTGGAAGATTCAAATACTAAAGTTTATGCCACAGGTGTTATGTCAAGTATGGTAACCTACCTGCTAACCAAGAAACCTGTTGCTGCTGCGGAGTCATCTTCTTTCTCCCCTGCAACTCTCCAATCTTGCATCTTCCCAGCACTTCTCATGAGTCAGAAATAGTGTTTGGCTATGTAAGCAGGAAAGTCAGCCAGTTCAGGACAGGAATTGTAAAATAACTCAAGAGTGAGGCAGAAATACTCTGTTAATATAAACTAGAAAAAAGTAAATAAACCAAAGGTTGCAGAACTGCCAAAGAATTTTCTTAAAACCACATTTGCAAGAAACTGGAAGCAGCATTTAGACTGCTAAATAAAAGTCGACATAAGGACAAAATATATTTTAATGAATGATTATGTTTAATTTAAAGACAACTGTCAGTAACAATAGATTAATAATTAAGTTTTGTTTTACAGAGGTTACACCATTTTGAAAATTATATTGGCCATCTCCACTGGTCAGAAGGAGGTTCTTCAACTAGAGGTTCCCACGGTTTCCACTGTATCATTTTTCTTGCCAGGGAAAGCTCATTTTCAGCCTGTTAATAAACACCATACACAAATTCTTAAATTCTATACAACTACTAAAGTATTAAATTAGCTCTATTTCAGTTCATTGTCTCAGTGATGTCACTATCTATCATGATCACAGACTACCGCAAATTTCACCTATACATATCAAAAGGAACTTAATGTTTTGGGGGTTTGTTTTTAAAAAAAATTGAATCGTCCCCCAACACCTGTCTGTTCACCTAGACATTCCCAATGACAACTTCATGATATTTTCCAGTTTATCTGGATTATGTCCCAATATTATTTAATCCTCTTCATCTGCCCTTTCCATTGATTTAGACTCTGTAAGAAGCAATGTAAGAAACATGTATATCTGTAAGCATAATACAAGAAACAACTGTTAACTGAGTTAGGCTTTAGCATGGTCATCCCAATCACTACATGAATATTTGTTTTCAATTTCTTTTTCTGTTTCATTGTTTTGCAGCAAAGGAAGATATGCAAAACTGCCAATTATCTGAACAGAAGTTCAACCAAAGCAACACTGAAAACCACTGCTCCCTTTGTACTTCATCTTAAGATTCCCAGTTTTACCTGTACAATGACTTCTTCTATGTGACCACTATTCAGTTTGTCCTGTAGTTTTTGCACATCAGTCTCCTGTGTATTCAAATACATATAAACAAATGTTTTACTGAGAAGTAGAAAGCCCATATAAAGCATGAAAACAGTAACTTAACCAACACTCAAGTCTTCCTCAGAACTACCATCAAATTAGCTGGCTTCTATCATTTTACATTATCAAAGAAATCTCATTTGTTACTGAAAAACAAACATCAAACTCTCGATGGTAAATACAAAGAATCAATACTATTTAGTGACACCCAAAGAAGTATCAGCAGGTAAGGGCTTTAGTATACATCTTGAAAAAAAGTCTTGTTCTTAGAGTTTTATAGAATTATACACAAACTTTCAAGCACCATAATACACAAGTATTGCATAGTTTACTGTATCAAAAAGTGTTTTAAAATACTGACGGTAAGGATTGTACTAAGATAGTACACTGGTAAGAGCACATGAATTTTTCAGTGTGTGTAAAAATTACAACTTTTGTATGAATCTTAAAAAAACCTTTGTTTCTTCTAATTTTCACAGAACATCAGTGGAAAATTAACAATTCCCTTTAATATGTCATAAAAATATCACCAAAATAAACCTTGATACTTCAGTTATTTCTGAACTAATACCTGAAAGTTATGTGTGCTTCTGAAAAACAGCCAGGCCTTTGGAAAATCATTCTTCCCATCCTACAAATTTTTTCGTGTGCAACATTAACAAAACAGCACTGTACTTACCTTTTTCACCAAATCAAATCGCTCATTTATAATCTGCTCAGTATATTTCCTATATGCTGCATCTTTGGGAATGTTTTGCAGGACACCAAGGATTTTTGAGTACAGAATTCGCAGGCGCTGAAATGATCACAAGACATGGTTAAAATACACAACCACAATTATTTAACTTGTCTTACTTAACCTATTAATATTTACACACAAAATACAAACGGTTATGGTATTCAATCCAGAAGTGTAGGATTAACTAATAACTAGGTCTGAGCCACTGAACTCTATCTTGGGTAAAACTGGGATTTATCAGAACTGAAAAGTTACCACTGCCACATTCCTCAAAGAGAAAAAAAGGAAAAAAACAAAGGAAGTTGCAACCTGAAGTACATTTGATGCAAAATGAAAACAATAAATGCTGTGTTTCTAATATTAAGTGCTCTTAAAGTTCTGAGTTACAAATATATTTAAATGAAACCAGAAACTTTTATTGCTGGATTTAAATTCAGGGATAAAGGACACACTGCAGTGAAGAAACTGCAGCTTTTGGACTGGATAACTATATCTAATTGATGAGGAATGGATGTCCTACAGAACAGTAAGAAATAGAAGTAGAATATGAAAAAAATACAAAGAAAAAAACAGGAAACAAAAAGGAGATTGGCAACGAATCTATACTTCAACTAATACATTGTCCAGTTCTTTACTCTTTGTTTTCAAGTTGCAGAAAACACTAAAATGTAGTAAGTTCACCCAAAAGGTGTCTGACAAGGCTGTAGACTAAAGGAGAATCATTTCTACAGAACACAAGTGATTTTTTCAATGGTTCTTTTTAACAGTACTCTTACATATTGGTGTCAAAAGCATTTCCGAAACAGAATTTTTGTATAATAAGAAATTTCAAAGTGGAAGACTTTAAGAATTACTGAATTTCTTTCAAAGCTCATGCCTCCCGAATAAGCATGATGTGGAAAACATATTTCCGTCCATGAGTCTGAGGAAATAAAAAGCATGAAGAATTGCTACAAAAACTACCTAATGCAGTTCCCAAGAACCACTGAAGTATTCCAGTCTCAACAGTACTTGCCACCACAGGGCCTTGATGTGGCTTTGCACCCTCTGTCATGTAAGGCTTATGAAGAACTGAATTTAAAAAGTTGTTTTGGCATTGCAGATGAAAGAAATCAAATATTGGTTGATAAAAAGTAGTTACATAGAGGAGATTTTTGAAATCAGCACATGCCACAAAAACTACACGTGTAAAATAATTTATAATAATATGCATTAAACTTTTAAGAATTAATTTTCTTCTTTTATCGTTGTGGAAAATTTTTACTGTCTCACTAAGTTGGCACCAGTTTAAGGTATAGAACATACCTACACATGCAAATACATCACAAAAACCTTACATCTCACTGACAGCTTCCTTAGCGACAGAACAAGACGTGTGACATACCTCATGAGGGTTTTCAGCTACAGCCAATCCTACAAGTCCAGTGGTCTGCACAGAGAGCACAAACACACTTAGCATACCTAAGCATCCATTTCCTCGCTGATCATTTTGTTTTGACTCCAAATACACCTGACGGGGGCCATTCCGAGGCACCAGCCGGGCGTCCCGAGACCCCAGGTTCGGGGAGGGCGAGTGCCGAGCGGGACCAGCTCCCCTCACCCAGCGGCTGCCGGGGCAGCCCCGCCGCCCCACACCGCGGGCCCGCCGGCACCCGGGCCCTGCGCTGCCCTCCGCCCTTCCCTCGCGAGGTGCCCCGCTCCCTCTCAGCCCGCCGCTCGGACACCACCAGCCGTCTCCCCAGAGAGGAGGACCCCTCTCCGGAGCCGGACGCGGCCGAGCCTCCCGCTCCGCTCACCTTCCGCAGCGGCCCCGCCATGGCCCTCAGAGGACGCGGAGGAGGGCGCGCGGCTGCGCATGCGCCGGAGCGGCCCCGGCGGGCGGGGCGGGGCCAGCGCGCATGCGCAAGTGTGCCCGCCGGACAGTGCCCGTGCTGCGAGTTGTGTCCGCAGAGCTCTGTGTATTACTAGGAGTTCGGCAGTCGCTGTGATCGCTTAATAAAGCAAAAAAATGCTGACAGAAAATAGAGAACTTATTTAAGGGGCTTGGTATAGGGACAGTGGCGGGGGGAGAGGGGGCAATGTAAAGACAGATTAAATAATTGATATAGATGGACATGGTGTTCATTTGAAGATCCAGTTGTCCTAATAAGTCTTATCCTTATGCCTAGTTGCTAATTTAAAGGGTGAGTTTTGCATAGGGAGTAATTCTTTATAATAATTGTAACCTTTTAAGAGATATGGTGAAGGTCCTTGAGGGGATGAGGATCAGCTGAGGTCACTTGGTCTCTTCATCCTGGAGAAGAGCAGGCTGAGGGGAGACCTCATTGCAGTTACAACTTCCTTGTGAGGGAAGGAGGAGAGACAGGCACTGATCTCTTGTCTCTAGTGACCAGTGACAGGACCTGTGGGAGTGGCCTGGAGATGTGTAAGGGAGGTTTAGGTTGGATATTAGAAAGAGGTTCTTCACCCAGAGAGTGGGTGGGTGCTGGAACGGGATCCTCAGGGAAGTGGTCACAGCACCAAGCCTGACAGAGTTCAAGAAGTGTTTGGACAATGCTCTCGGGTACCTGGTGTGACTCTTGGGGATGGTCCTGTGCAGTGCCTGGAGCTGGACTCAGTGATGCTTGTGGGTCCCTTCCAATTCAGTCTGTGATGCTGTCATTCTATCTTCTGGAGAAACTTTTCTTTATAGTTCCTTTGTCCTGCTGTTGAGCTCCTCTTTTCCATAACTGGTAAGCAAACTCATCACACTGAGTTTCAGAATATTGAGTTCTCCCTGAAACCCTGTCCTTTAATAAAACATGCACTACTACCAATCTGTAACTAAAAGCAAAGTGATTGATACAGTTTATATCAAAATTCAGGGTGTGTGTTTCCCCACTTCTATGTGTTATTTGCGATTGTATCAGAAAGACCTGGGTTTTCTTTCCAAGGCACAGAGACTCTCTTATGAAAATGATGGTGTTTGAAAGTTTCTGCATTTTTTTTATTAGATCATCCCTGCATTTTCCACCTCTCTCTTATGGTCCAACCAGATGATCTCTTCTGATTACACTAGTCAACCACAGCACAAATTTTTCTGTGTCAGGCAATATTTTAGCTCAGTTACCATAGTTCAAACAGTTGATGAAAATGTTAATGAAATCAATCCTGAAGTGACACTGTAGGAAGTTCCTGGAATTGTCAAACCCTGTTTGACAATAAATACATAATTTATTTTAAAACATAACAAAGACAAGACCTAAGAAGTATTATCAGTGTACATTCAATAAGTACATGGTTTTGAAAACAAACCAAAAAAAAAACCCCAAACCACCCACATAGCATTTCACAGTTTATTTATTATCTGTTTAAGACTGGGGACTCCGTTAACAGTATTATTCTGTGTGTTAATATACAGTATGTTGGCACCCTAAGAAGGCCTTCTTATTACTGTGACTCTTTGTCCCTTGTTTGTCGTCAATGAATTTATCTCACAATGAAACCTTACAAATTGCCATATGATTTGATATCTGGACAAAAGTCTTATTTATTTTGCATGGAGCATAATTGGTGGACTTACACCTAGTAATTATGTAAGAGTGGAATCAGACACTTTATGTAGCAATGAAGAATGTTATTAAAAATATCTGAAAATCAAAACAATACCTTGTTTGTAGTGTGGATATGTACTAGTTATGGTAGTGTCCTGATTATGTAAAGGAAATGAAAAAACTCAAGGCAAATAATTAAAACATTGTGTTCTTTATATGTATGATAAATTTTTTTTTAAGTAGGTAAGAATATAGTTCTGTTCATGTCATCTTGTAACCAACAGTACAGCAAGATCTCAGCACTGTTTCTGCTTCTGTTGTACTGTGTTCTTCTAGGGGTGTCCCACACTCAGGTCACACTGGCAAAAGTTGCAATGAATATTATTAATCATTAAATGGTGTTTTTTATGTCATGTTCAAATATTAAAATGCATGTAGTACCTTAGTTAAGCTTACAGTTTTGTGGTTCTGAAGTGCAAGCAAACCGAGGGTCATGGAAGAGTTCATAGTATATAATTTCGTTTCATTAGAACAATTAAAGATATGCTGGAAGGATTTTTTTTTCAGTTTGTTGTGTATCCTTATTGTGTGTTCATTTTGGTAAAGATGGTAACTAATTGGTTAAAACCAAAACAAACCAGAGGGTTTGAATCTCTAATTTGTTTCCAGCTTCTTCCTCATGCCAGGCCTGGGATTTACCTCGCTGGGTACTGCTGTTCTTGACATTACGCTGTGGTTATTCCATTTTTGCATGACTGCTGTCTGTGGTGCCATGCCTTCTGCTTCTTTGTCCAATTTCAAGTTATTAAATCTAGTTAAATAAGTACTGTAATTGTCTGCTATTGAATCTATAAAGCTTTGCATCATGTCAGCCTCACAGAGAGAGATTACTGTTTGGTGATATATTATGGTTGAATCTGCAACTACCTAAAGGCTAAACCTTCTCATATTTGTTGTGATTTATGTAAATATGCTGCCAGATTTTGTTAACATAGCCCTTGAGAATAATTGGCAAATAATTTATTTTCTTAATGGGAATTGTTTAACCAATGGGGGCACAGATAATCTTCTTATACCTCCCAGACCTCGTGTTACATTTGATGAGATTTTAGAGAAGTCATGTGTAATACTTTCCTGTGGGTCGAGTCATCTTATGTTACAGTTGTACAAGGTCAGACCTTAATTTATCTAGCAACTGTGTATTTAATTTTAGAAGTATCACAGGACACCTCAGCTTGCAGGGCACCATTCCTGGCTGTTCAAAATGCAAGCCCCAAGTAACAGTGGCAAGATAATGGTTTCAAAAGGTGAGAATATCGTATGCTCGCCAATTAGACTAACAGAGAGAATAGTTTATAACTGTAATATTTAATACACTGAGTCCCAGTTTAGATTGCTATTAATTATTTTATTGCTACAAATAACCTCTTTGCATGCCTAAGGGCCTTCTATTTATAGAGTGAAGCTAAGATTGTCTAGTTTATTTTAAGGATAAGAAATTAGAATAACATTAACTCTCACATAACTTCACGTGTTTGAAAGCAATGAACACTTGATACACTTCTTTCCAAGGAAGGATGCAACTTCCATGATTAGCAAGTAGTTAATATTTTTTCCAATGAAAAAACAATAATTTAGAAAGCAACATCAAGAAGTAATATCTAGTTTTTCAGGCATGAATATATTAAAAAAAAAAAAAAAAAAAGAAGAGAAAAATATCAGGCTACTTAAAATGTTTAAAGAAAATATTCTCGGTAATATAAAAAGTAAAACTCATTTAGAGTAAGCATTTGCAGTTGTTTCCAGTGATCTAGTGTGTGGGTCTAGCAATTGATAAACAGCCAAGGGTAAATGGAAGAAAATTTTGCTGCTGAGCTATTTAGCCTTTTCATTGCCAAGTAACGTAGCAGGGATGTCTCTGCTGTTGCTCAGTGTACCAGCCATGCTGTTGTGTTCCCCTGTGATCCATGTAGAACATCCACACTTCAGTCAGACCTTGTCACCTCAGCACAGTGTATTATCAGCAGTGATATAGCAAATCAGGCTCTCAAAGCGCGTATAGACCCCTGGCAATGTGTCCAGCACTTGTGCTGTGCTGAGCTGTTTGACTTACACTCACTCTACCCTGTCACAGTCCCTTGCTACGTTACTGACTTTCTTATTTTATAATATGTTAATTTTTGTGCGATAATTTTAAAACAGTACACACAACTATTCTGAAACACTGCTCATCTGATACCTTACTGGTTAAGTCTGTGTTCAAGAAGATCTTTGTGTTACCTGTGACATAATCAGTCAGGAGAGTATATCAAAGCAGGAGATAGCTGCCATGTGGGTATGGAAATTATATGACCAGAGAAAAGTTTCTGTGATGGCCTCTAAACTGATTTATTCCTCTTATCTTTTGGAGAGAAAGGGATGGTAGAAAGGCAATACATTTTTTTCTGAAAATAAATGGATTTTCTTACTAGACAACTATAATGTTTAGTGCTCTTAACTGTTCTTGCAATCACTGATGTTGGAAGGTATTGATCATCTCACAGGATTAAACCACATATGAACAGCATTATAAAGATACTGTAATATACTAAACCAGACTTATTTTCAGATAGTTTGCAATGTGAGGCTCTGATCTAAGGCCGTATAAGTCTTCAGGAGCCTTTTTGCTTCAGGCTCTAGGGTAAATATAATATGATAGGCTGCAATATAATAATTGTCAATCTCAGTTCTACTAAGAATGGCAACTTCAGTAAGGATTGCAGGGCATGAAGGTCCATGCATGTGAATCCAATAGGGTGGTCATGACTCATTAAAAAGATTCTTCAAAAATTTTATCAGTGGCATGAAGTCTTCAAATGTAGCACTTTCAAAATGAAAGGTGTGAAGAAGAGGAAGGTATCTTCTGTTTGCCGCAAAGCTGTTTTGGAGGAAATGCGATTATGAATTTTACAAATTTTTCCTTAATAAATTATCTTATTAATAATGTTATCTTATTCAATTTCATTAGGAGCACCTCTTAGCTGCCAATGAAACGTTAATGAATTCTAAAATGTACTTTCCTTTTAGCTGATGCCAGGCTGAGGTTGTAGGTATGTTTATTGAGATATACTCCTAAAACTGCTAGTCCGTGAGAGATTTTACCTTTGCTGTCTAAAGGGTTTGTGAGTCTTCAGAACAGCGTGTATTTGTGGGTTAAATGATGAAAGCTTTAATATACCATCACAATTAGAAAAGTGCTTATGAAAATGAGAGGATAAATACATACAAAAACCTTGACTGAGAATTCTCCTGCCTATCAATAGAGCACATAGACCACAAGAGATGAGGGAGAGCGGGATGTGTGTCCGCATTGTGATGACCAGTTCATCAATCTAACTTACATGTTAAATCTTCTTTTGGACTGTTATGCTGCAGCCTTGATTACAGACATAATAGGAAGGAAAAGAGAACCTTTTAGTAAAGCACTGTCTCTTATGAACAACATCAATCTCTGTTCTTCCAAGCCCCAAATGAAAATGTTTCTGTGAATATCACTTTATTCATGGACTTCTTTTTTTTGTGTGTGTTCAGAGATGGCACTCAAGACCAAAGTTGTGTATTTTTTCCTTCAGAGAAAATGAGATTAAAGTGCATATTTTTTTTACTTTCCTTCAGATTTCCTTCCTTGCAGTTAAAAATCAGACCATTGTTCCAGTACATACTGAAAGAGGTGGGAAACTGTATTATGTGGGAATTGGAATACAAGAGTTTCTGAGTCAATCTGACTGTAAGCCCTTACTAATTTAATTTTGGTTTGTAAGCTTTATCGTAATATACTAAGTAGTAAAGTATTTGGGGATGGGATTATAACATTCGCTATGGTACTTTGATTGACTTACTGCTTACGAGAGCAATGTAGAAATTAATCTAAAAAGAAAACTGATTAATACGTTCCCTTGAAAATAATTTTCAGAAAATGTCCTCCAAATAACTTTTCCAATGTTCCTTCTCTCTTTGCAGAATGACTAGAATGCACTATGATGATCATTCTGTGAAAAATATACAACAGACGCTTAGTATAATTGTTCAATATTTGTGAAGCACTCTGATGATAAGTGTTCAGTGTGGTAGATACAGCACATGACTGCACAAGCTGTGGGAGTAGTAGTTTAAAATTTAATAAAAAAAAAAAATAACATCTGGTGTCCTCAGTCTGATTAAAGGACAAATATGTTAAGCCACTATGATTGAATCAAACAGAGAAACTGTCAAAACTCAAAGCTCACCTGGAAAAACCTAGGTAGGTACAGCTAGACATATATTAACAAGGTTTTTTCCTTAAGTATCTTTTACCATAGATAAAACTACATTTTACACTTCAAAACCCTAGAAGGTTTTGTAAAGAGCAACATTCCTGACCTTCCAGTTAGTCAGAATTTGCTAGCAAGACAGTTAGTTGATGTGATATCACTAGTAAAAAGCATAGAGAACATAAGCCATAGTTAAAGTTGGTGATACGAGGAAACTGAATTTAAGTTGATGACTATAGTTAAAAGGTTTGACATACTCTCTTACTAATCCACTGAGCATCTCAATGACTCTCATAACTTGGAAATAATAGCTGGCATGGCTTGACCATCACCCGGGCTTTTGTACCCAGTACCTGTGAATGTCCATTAAACTGCATGACTGCAGAAGCAGTGCAGAGACTGCAAAGTTCTTTGTATTTTTTGATAGGCCATGCCTTGGCAGTATAAAGATAAAGCTATATCTGTGTTTGTGCTTTGTTTGGGATGTTTGTTACATATTAAGGGTCATTAAAAGTGATAATTAATGAGACACGATGAGACTATTTTAATATACCACCTACTCAGGAAAATAGGAAAATTGTAACATTCATGAAGCAAGATAAAAACCCTGAAATAAAATAGTCCTTTTGCAAATATGAGCTTTTAGTATATTATTTTTTTCTCCTGCATTTTGTTTATCCATTGGAGTTTTTAAGGTCAAGTGTTTGGGCTTCAAGAACTTCTGAACCTGATGTGGACTTTGGAGGAAACTGATCAAAGAGGATGATTTTCACTGCACAAGGCTGCAACTTGGCCAATTCTGCAAATACTTGTAGTCATTTTAGATGGTAAGTAAGGTAAAAATATCCCATAAGGTAAAGAGAATAGGAAAGAAACATAGAGCAATAAACACAACAGGCTACAACTGTTTACTAAAAAAAGTGTGATCAAGTCCTCCAAGGAGCATATTGCTTATGTTGTTTAAATGTTCAGGCAAATTTTCTGGTTTTGGAAAAGTTGCATCAATTTATATTAGCAAATAACTTTTAACTTTAAACGTTAAATAAGTTTTAACGTTTTTTTTAGAAACCAACATAGCAAAAATTGCTATGTAATGTTCAGTGTGTTTGGCAATACTAGCTAGTTTAACATAATTACAGGTACTTTTCATAGACTTAGTGTTTAAGGATTTCTTATTTATATATGTGTTAACAGCCTTGTGCTTTAATTTTGTCTTTTTTTTTTTTCAGTTCTTACCTCTTATGAAACAGTGTTGGAATACAAAACATGCAATGGAGAAACAGCATTAACCTTGGCAGCAAAAGCTAGCTTTGTGGAAAATGTGTGAATGCTACTGGAAAACAGTGTTTATCCCAATACCACAAATTATGAAGGAGAAACTCCACTTCTTGCTGGTAATTGCCTGCTCTCTCTGGGTTTAAGCAACGTGAATGGCAGTGCTTTCTCTCTGTTGTGTACTCACCCCCACGCTCCCCTAGGCTTGCATGGTTTAGATGCTGGTCATCTTTTTAGATGAAACTAATGCCCAGCACCTGGTGAAATGTCCCCAGTGTTCAGTTCAGCACTCATCATACTTTAGGTGATCACCAAGCTGATCTTAAACATGCTTCTTCTGTTTTAGGTGATTGCTGAACTGCTTCTAAGAATATGGACCTATTTTTTGTTCAAGGTACTTTCTCTGTATCTTCAGATGCTATAAGACCTTTACCAACCTGGTCCTGTTTAAACATCTTAAGGTACAAGAACAGTACAAGAATAAGCCATTGTTTTAACTGGAATATACTTTTTTTCTGCAGATCTGGTGGTCAGTGGAGATTTTTAGTTTTATCAGATGATTTGTTCAGCAGTAGGCAGGTATTTTTAAAAACCTCTCATCTCATTTCCCTCACCTCTTGTGCTGAAAACAAGCTTCAAGTGCATTTCTAAGTAATACCACAATCTAAAGTTAAATGAGCTTTACTATTCATTAATAATTTAGCTATATGAACTTCCAGTTTCTGTTAAATGTCAAGCATCTTAGTGCTTCTGAAGAGAATCAATCTGTGAAATTAATATGAGAAAACACAATATATACTACAATTATCAGTATTAATATATTCAGTTATCTGCATTTTTATTAACTCTCATCTGATGCTATTACCATATTACCATTTTGAGGCCCTGAGACATCTGTAAGAGGTTCTTCTGCAATACCCTGCTTTACATTGCTTCAGTTCTTTTCAATGATTGTAGGTCTGTGAAACTTCAGCTATTTTTGACCATTGCTTTTAATGAATCCTGAGAAGAGTTAGGCAGTGCTGATGAAAAAGGTCTTTCCCATTAAAATGACGATTTAGTTTCCTAAATATTTCTCTGTACAAACTCCTGAAAGTGAGGTCTTCTTCTATTTCAAAGGTTAGTTTAAAAGTAAAATTAGACTCTTACTTAGCATCACCCTTTTATATGTAAATAATATGCAGGTGTAGTTATCCATTAAAACCACAGAACCTCAAAACTATGGAACATGTCCTTTAAGTATGACAGATCTCAACTGTACTTTGGTTGAGAACAACCACTGTGTAGACACTAGGATTAGAGCTACCAGGTGAAAAAGGAAGTCAGAGGTGGAATTTTCTAGGGACACTGTAATGTTTGCAACAACTTTAGAAGTAAGGACCATATTTTAATATTATGTTATTTTAATTGTTGTTTTCCTTGTGACACACCTGCTTCTGTTTTCTCAAAGTGTTGCTGCTTTTGCCTTCCATGCCTCAAAGTGACAGTTTTGAACTCGTGTTGGTGTACCTTGATTTCCCAAGCAGCTAACATTATTATTTATTTAACAAATATTGGATTCCCAGATTTCTAGGACTGGAAAGTTTTTTTAAATTCCTTATAATGGAACACATGGAAAAGCTTTTCTACATTTATTAGATGTCTTTAGCTTTCAAGACAATACTTGAAAATGTAATTATATTTTTAGCTACAAGAAGGGGCTCTTTTGAAATGGTATCCACTCTGATTAAATACAACTGTACCATCTACCAACTGTTCATGAAACATTGGTCAGCAATGCATGAAGATGCAAACAGAGATGCAAAGACATTGTTAATCTTCGGAAGAATGGTGGAAATGTGAACATTAAGGGTGAATATTGAGTAACACCATTAGGTGTTGCTGATGAATATGGTCACTGTGATGTGCTGGAGCATATTAATCATAAAGGTATGTAGTCAGGAGAAGAGAAATACACCTCTGCACTGGCATACATCTTGCCTGGCTGCTCAGGTGTTTCAGGGTGATCATGGAAAAGGAAAGAAAGAGGAGTAATAAATGAGAAGATTTGGTTTTTCAGAAGGAAAGGAAGCATAGATGAGCATTCCTGCTAGACTGGAGTGATGCTTCCAAGTTTCCATAGTGCATGTGAGAAGAGTGGCTCAGTCAAGGAGAGACTATGCCCTTCTTGCCCTTCTATATTTCTCTTTACTCCCTTCCCTCTCTCCTTCCCTTCCTTCTTCCCACGTTGTATCTGTCCCTGCCTTCTGTCTTTCCTTCCCTGAACAGAATTATGTTGCTTTTAATTAATGAAATGAATTATTTTTGAAATATGCCAGCTTGAATGTCCTCAGTTATAACACTTCGGGTCAAAGCAGACCACAGTCAGGTGAGCACTTGAGCTTGTATCTGTACACCTCTTGTTTTCCCTTTGAGTTTTAAATTTGCCACAGGAAGTATTTCTTGTTTTAGTAAAGGTTTAACTTAAATACATCTGAAAATGAAGAGGAAGTGCTCTGGGTTTGCTATTATGATGATTTCCAAACGACTTTGGATGTAGGTTCTGTATTCTCCTTCAGTGTGGAGATGTCCAGGCCTTAGCAGATGATTGTGAATCAGTACTGTTTAAAGTAGCTGGAGAAGGTAATCCAGACTGCATAGCCCTTCTTTTGGAATATGGAGGAAGTGGTAATGTGCATAATGAGGCCACACTGCTTCCCATACACAAAGTGGCTTATAAGAGATTTAGGAAAGAAGTTTGAAGAAATCATGAGGCAGGATTCTGGAATTTCTGTTTCTTTCCTAACTAGTGGAGTAGATATGTTTCCAGAGAAATATCTCTATTGAACAAAATGTGACAGTGACAAAAATTGCAGCAATATTTTAATTTTTTTTTTCATTCAGTCCTGTTTGCATTAATTAAGAGTTCATAAAGGTTACAAATCGAAGAAAATGGCTTTTCAAGTAACATTCCTAGGCATCAGTTTATGACTGTTGAAGGTCATTGCTAAAACTTTGTTTAAATTATCTTGTGTAATTGCTTTAAAATGTATTATTTTGGCATTCTTCTGCACAGATTTTGAAATTATGACTTGATGTGTTGTCTCTTTCAGTTCTGTGAGTTTACTGTTGCTCCTTGATTGAAACATTTAGCAGGAAAAGTGGTTTGTCTTTTTATAGATTGCAATGGATTATGTTCCTTCATGCACAAGAATTGAGTTTTTCCTAGAAACGTAGAAAGAATGGATGGAATACATCAGATTGTGTGAATAACTTCCAGTTAATTATGTTGTGATTTATTATAGGAAACTTAAATTGCTTATGTCAACTCACATTCATCCAAAGTGTTTTAGCAGTCCAAATACATACTAGCTAAGAACCACGTTGTGCCTGTCATTCCGTCCTTACATTGAGATGATCTTTACCTATTACCACTGGTCATAAATTAGTTAATTGGACTGGAATATGGCAAATGTACAGCTGGTGCAAATTATTCTCATAAGGAATTCAGGGACATGATTTAGTGGTGGACTTGTCAGTGTTATGTTAATGGTGGGACTTGATATTAGAGGTCTTTTCCAACCTAAATGATTCTGAGTCTATGAATGTCACTGTTGTATGGGAAGCCTTTTTAGTTAAGCAGGGCCACGGAGTTACTTATCAAACTCCTTATTAAAGGACATAACACTAGTCATTGCACAGCTATAGAGCACAAAGTTTTTTTATTGAGGAATATTGCTTACACTTCCATCCTTCTTTTTGCTCTCTTGATCTCTCAGGTCTGTTAATCATCCAAGGATTATCATAAAGCATGTTTTAGATCCCCTTATGTTCAAGGTGGTACATGGTGACAATGAGTGTGCAATCACAATGTGTAGCATAATTTCCATACTTTGATTTACACAGTAGACAATCTAGAGCTGCCATTATTAATGCTGTAATTGACTGTTTCTACTGAGTGCTTTAATTTGGAATCTTCCACCATTGGTGGCACCAGAGATAGATTTCACCCACCTTAACTTAAAAAAATGTGTTGGGGAACGTACTAAATGTTCTCTTTGCACACATTGATTTTATTTGATGTTTTAAATATTTTTAAATAGAACTTGATTTAAGATCAGCTGTTAACAAAACATATTTAGGTTCAAAACTGGTACTCTGTATTTAATTTTTGCCTCAGTATTTTGCATTGGCATGCAGAGGAACTTTTTTTTTGTAAGTGTCACAGGGACATCCAAAGAATTTGGTAGTCTATACTGCTGTTTCAAGTATGGTGCAAGGTTTTTTTACGTTCAGGAAGGCTAAGTTAAGTGAACCCTTTGACTGATGTCAGTAGCAGAAGTATTTGTTTAGCGTACTCAGCAGGCCCAAGCATGGTAAGGTCTGGTCCTGCTGCCTTATTGATACAGCAGAAATAGAAAGTGCCATGGCTGTCCTCAACATGTGACTTTTAAAAGGTGCACCAAGGGAAAGGAGAGATTGTTTATCAGTGTGCATATATCCAAAAGGGAGACAATAATGGTGAGCAGATATCTCACAGAAGAAGTTTGATTAATATGCGTATTGTGTGTCACCACAATTTTGAAATTGAGTGGTATTTTATTCAGAAGGAACAAAATAATAATGCCTCAAGGTAATGGATTTTCATGTTAATTTTATTAGAGCATATTTTGAGATTGTGAACTGGTTTAAAATCATTGTCAATGACATTGATTTTTCTACCATTTTTCTCTCACTTCTTTAGATAATCCTTTCTTTTTGAAATGTCTGTGTCGTCTGAAAATGTGTAAACTCATGGGGTTAAAGAGGCTCCAGAAACTGTCATCCATGAAGAAATTTCCACTTCCACCAGTTCTCAAGAACTTAATTCTATATAAAAAATATTATCTGTATGAAAAAGGGATGCATTTAGAATAGTTTTTAAAAATAACTGTATACAGCCTGTAATTTGACTGCTTTCTAAATTTTTTTTATGAACTGAAGAACTGTTTGATGTTTCATATACCTTCACAACATTGTTATTTGTTGTTAGTAGTTCTTCTATGGGAACAAATTTCTTTTCAAAATTAAATTGTTAAAACTCATGTTTTAACACAATATTGTGCTGTCCAAATACAAGCTAAATCAGATTATGGATATTGTAATAATTATGTAGAACAGTACAATCTAAATGGGAATTCAGATGAATAAATTATAAAAGAAGAATTTTCATGATGGACTTCCAAATGAAGATGAGAAATATGCTGCTCTCAGTTAGTGGTATTGGTTTAATTGTAACAGAAAATAAATGTCTAATTTAGCTGAAAAAAAAATCACTAAATGCACATTTCTGTCATGTAACTGCTCTGAAATATAGCACATTTTGTACTCTGAAGATTATACTCCTATAAAAAATTCTTTAAACACTTAAAATATAGTTTTACCAACTGTTAGCTCCTGGGTACAACTGCTGTGTGTGCATGATTCAAGGCTTGGCAAAATTTGAAGGACTTTAAGTAGGCTCTTTTAAAGAAAGACTGGATTTTGATAGGCTATCAAACCAGTAAATCAAGTAGCATATCCCCTTGGTTGAGAAATACTGTAATTTTAATAATGGTTCCTTCAGAGTTTTGGCAGATCACTTCTTTATTGACAACATTAAACAACACTCTCAGTGATGCTGAGGTACACTTCAAAGTATTCTTCTGCACATCTAGAAAAAAAAATCTAATAGAATAAATTTAAAGACTATTTAATTAAAAATTTATTGCAGTTACTCCCTTTGTTCTACCATCCCTTCCATCTTGAGGAAAGAAAAAGAATCCAAACCCTCTAAGTAAGAAAATATTACAGTTGGCAGATGGGATTACATAGGACATAGTCAGTTTAGCTAAACACAACATCATCAAGTGTTTTAGTTGGAAGGGACTTTAAAGATCATCTAGTTCCAGCCACCCTACCATGGCCAGGGACTCCTTTCACTAGACCAGCTTTCTCAAAGCCCTGTCCAACCTGGCCTTGAACAGTTCTAGGGATGAGACAGCCACAATTTCTCTGGGCAACCTATTACTTAAGAGATATGCTGATTATCACACATATACATACACACATTTACACAACCCAAAGGTCAGCTCCAGAATGCTTCTGCCCTGCTCCCTACACTGGCTCTCCCTGTTCTTCAGAACTTCTCCTTATTTGCTGGATGTCATTATCATATAAAACTTATTAACTTCTGAGTCAGAGATGTAAATTCCACTTCTAAAGGCAGCTATATCAGTCCTTTGTGTGCCCATCCCTTGTCACAACAGATTTACTGGAGCAAATGCAAGGAGTGAAAATTACTGGTCTGGGACATATAGGGGGTTGAACAGAAATCTTAATTCCTCCTTGTGCTCTCAGAAGGGCTACTATTCAGCTGGCTTTCCAAGACATATCCTCTGTTTTTTTGCCAGAAATTTTGACCAGGATGAAAAAGAATAACTTGGTCACTTGCAAAAAATTTCCAAGTATCTGGCGTCTGGGCCTGGCCCCTGACAGAAGGATGCCCCGGGTGATTGGTGACTGGAGGCATGGCCTGAGCACAGAAAGCCCAGTGGACCCAACACAGCTGTCAAGGATCCACTTGTCAAGTCAAGGATCCACTGGCCAATACATCCTGGACATACCAGGCTAAATGTGTGTCTGCTTCATAACCTGTAAACTGATATTTCTGTGTGGCAATTTCTAAACAGAAATATGGGCTTAATGATAGTTGTGGTAATTTAGATGAATACAGTGACCACAATGCAAGAATCTGGGTAATCGTGTATTTGATGCAGTGTACTGCAACCAGCAAAGGACACATGATCAAATAGGGCTTTAGACAGGAGATTTTAAACCCTTTCTGTGGCTAGAGGCAAATTCCACTAGTAATTTTAGTCCACGGGCAAAGGTTTATATTTAGGACTTTATACACTCCTCAGGCCCTAGTTACATTGCCTGCAGCATCAAAGCATTCAGATCTAGGACTGAACATTACCCTAAGTGTTTAAAATACCACGGACTAGTCTTTTGAATGTCATTAGGTAAGGTAAAAAGACATGGTATTGTTGTGTTTATCTTTTTATCAATACATATGGGCCCTTTTTGTTGTTTGGTAGTCTATTATAGAAGGTGGCATAATCCCGGTTTTAAGCTTTTCTGTCATTCACTGTTGAATCTGTTAATTTATTGAAGACTTCCCCCAGTCCTCCCTCGCTTCATCCCAGATGCTAAAGGAAGTACAGCATTATGAGAAAGTGTTTTTCATGTTTTCAAGGTGTCTGTGAATGGAGGTAGGAGAAGCAAGACTTATATTTTAAGTGGAATATGAGGTGAGAAAGTCAGGGAAAGGGAACTGTTTTTCCCAGGTCATGTTTATGGTACTGCTAGGACATGAACACAGGTCTTTTGACTCCCATATTTTGCAGCCCCTGAATACTACTTTTATGTACTTGAGTATGTGGTGGTAGGAGCAAGAAATGTAACTGGACCAGAACTGGTGATTGTGCAAAAAGAGGAAAAGGCATCAGCCCCAGCTGGAAAAATAAATTGGTAGGACAAAAATACTTATTTTCCCTGCTTAGACTGTGATTGAACCCTTGCAACACTGGAATTTAATTTTCTCTGCTATTTGGGTGTGTCTCACAGGGTGTTCCACAGCAACCCAATTCCATGGCATGCCCCCCTCCCCGCCTGCCGCAGGGTGATGTTGTCTAGAAGTAATTAAATGCTCTGGCACCGATTCAGGCATGCTCAGGGGCAGGGACTCCTGTGGATTTGAGGACAATGTTTGAAATCAGAGGTATCATTTGGTCTCTGTTTCTCATAAAATCTGACACAAGCAGCTGCAGCAGAATGGATGAGCTCTCCAAGGAGCCAGACGTTCAGCAGTGGTTACATCAGCCTTTGCAGCGCTCACGGGATGGACTTTGTGGCTGTGCATGTTTTCACAGCTCAGTGAAGAAAGGACCAAACCACAGCCATGAGTCCTATATACGACCAGCTATTCACTGTAGGGGTCACAATGTCTTGTGGGTTATCCATAAAACTCCGTGCAGTGGCTGCCATCAAATTTTGGCAGCTGGCATGGCAGAGGCTGTTCTGGGTACCAAGGTGGTGGGGGGCGTGGTGAAGGGGTGGGCAGCAGTTTTACTGTTTCAATGCAGCAGTCTGTGTTCTGGCACAGGCTCTTAGTGCCTGAGCTGCACTTTCTCAGACTATTGCCATTAGTACAAAAGTCACACATGGAAGAACAGAGTCACAAAGTCACAAGCTCTTTTGCGTCTGCTGTGAGGTAGGCAAAGGGATTTTTTTCTGATCCTTACTTGGGGCAGAAAAAAAAAGCCTTCTAAAATATCCAGCTGTTTGGCTATGGTTTGCAAGGAGAAACGTGACATAAATTCATGACAATTTATCTCTGTAGAATAGGTCTTACCTCTTTTCTTTCAATCCCAGGGACTGGAGCACAAGTCTTATGAGGAGTGAGCTGGGGTTGTTTAGCCTGGACAAAAGGAGGCTTAGGGGAGGAGACCTAATGCTCTCTACAGCTGCCTAAAAGGAGGTTGTAGCAAAGTGGTGGTTGGCCTCTTCTCCCAGGTAACAAGTGACAGGGCAAGAGGAAATGGCCTCAAGTTGCGCTGGCAGAGGTTTAGATTGGATATGATGAAAAAAATTTTCATGGAAGGCATTGTAAAGCATTGAGACAGGCTGCCTAGGGAAGTGGTGGAGTTACCATCCCTGGAAGTGTTCAAAAAACATGTGGATATGGCACACGAGGACACGGTTTAATGGTGAACATGATAGTGGTGCTGGGTTAATGGTTGGACTTGATGATCTTAAAGGTGTTTTCCAACCTTAACAAGTCTATGATTCTGCACCTAATCAACAGCTTCTGGCCCTCACCTCAGTGTCTTCTGTGTGACCAGCTTTGCCTGCCTGGTGTACTCTGCCACTGCCATGATCTGCCTGCTAAATCAATCCTTTTAAAGACTTCCCCCCACTTTTTCATTTCATGTGAGCCTTAGGACTGATAGACCTCTGCTCAGGAAAATTATATCAAGAAAAGTAATTTCAAACAAAGTGATTTTCAGCCTTAACAATCCAATTATACTTCCACCTCCCCCGACCTTTCTAGTGGAGGTTGTTTGTTTAGGCTGTAGTTATTAAAAATGGCACCTTACCACTCAAGGTGTCTGTCCTTCAGCGTCCACTTCTATGCCCTACAGATAAAGATCTTAGCTCAAAAATACACTATCTGTTTCTAAATGCATGGAGCAACTTCAAAGAAATCCAACCCTACTTTTTACCAGGATAAATGCTGCATCTGAAAGAAGTGCATGGCAGAATGTACCAAACTGCTGTATAAATATTTAAAGATATATATTGCAATGGGAGTAATTTTCTATCCCTTAAGTGTCACTCACAGTAGCAAAAGAGGTACTTGGATCAGGAGAAATATTCCTCAAGGAACTAGTGTTTTGTAGTTCTGAAAAGCTATAAAAATATATTAATTAATGTTTAGTAATCATAAGACTGATATAACAGTGTAGCTCTGGTGACATGTACAGCATGTTTACATTTAATTTTAAAAATTAAATTTTTTAGTAGAAATCTCTGCATTTGATTGGGCAAACCCATTGCCTTTGGCCCACGTATTCTGTGTATGGTAGATATAGTGCCCAGAATTCCCATTATCATTAATATGGACTAAAAAAAAAAAAAAAGGCAGTAGAAAATTTACCTGGTTAGTACTGCTGCTTGTATTTAATTCCCTGTGAAGTACATCACTTGTTTATCTCACTGGCATCTCCTTTTAAAAGAAAATCTTCATAAACACATACACAAAGAAATGCTAAATATTGAGGTAAGTACCTGTCTTGATCTCTGTGTATAAACAAACAAAGCCATTTTTTTAATCT